AATTCAAAAGGAGAAAAGGGGGGGCTAACGCTCCTCCGCTATAAAAACCCCTTTTTCTTCTTCAGCAGCGGAGTTGGACATTTTTGTTGGAGAAAATTTTCGAGAGTTGGAGCTTTAGTCGAAAAAAAAAAAGTTGTTGTTCTGTCTGTTCTTGGCTTAGAAAAGACATATCGTAGTCTAGCTTTGACGATAGGTTCTCTAGAAGAGGAATCTTAGAGAGAGCGTAGTTCGGAGGTCTCTCGCTCGCCTCTGGTTTTCTGTTCGAAAAAAAAAAAGAAAAAACGGAGTGAGATCGTTGCTTTGGTTGGAACGCCTGGCCGGGTTCGCGTGGTGGAACAGTCGTCTGCTCGCCATCGTACCAGTCGCTGCTCTCGAAAAGGTAATCTTCCCCTGCCTTCTTTCCGTCTTCTCGTTTCTTCTGTCTCGAAGTTGTTTCTTCGTCGTTTCGTGCTATGGGTTATCTACTGTTATTCGTTTTGGCGAGCCTCTCATGTGCTGGGTCTATTATCAAATGCGTGAACGTTAAGCATATGGTTTGTTTGCCGTAACTGCAGGATGTCGCATGTGTCATATAACATGATGTTGTTCTATTATGTTTTCTCGTCTGAGGCTGCTCACATGTTGATTATGAGTTTGTCATAGCGTAAATCGTATCGCATTGGTCTTAAGTTGGTTCTGTTCTATGATATATATGACTTGTAGATTAAATATAGAATGTTATTTGTTGGGTTTAGCTCGAATTCATGATATATCACACGTCGTAGTTTTGCCCGTCACACTTGCTCGTTTGTGTTGTTAGTTTGTTTATCACGTGGTCATCATGGCATAGATGTTTACGTATCAGTATTTAGGACCGTTTTGGCTGGCATTTGGTTTGTAACGCGAAGTTTATCGCTATTTCGTGCTGTTTCTCTGAAGTTTTCATTGATTAGCATCTGTTGGGAATTCGAGTCCATGTGGTCCAATTGGAAGGGGGGGGGGGAATGAGCTGTTGGGGGTTGCTTCCTAATTGTCTAAATGTTTGATTATTATTGATATGGAGAAGGCCTTTACTGCCTACCCTAACTTCATCGATACATAGTTGTGTATGCTTAGCGAAATTACATAACCTTTTCTTGAGACTTTAGCATTTGATTGTTATAAGTTACCGGTTGCCTTCTTCTTGTTAGACTTTGACTTAAGTGTTTCAGAATATGCATGCTTTCTGTTGTTTCAAAGCTTGTGAGGAATGTTCGAGGTCATTTGGATTTATCACGCAAATACGTTTATGTCATATGTCAACTAAGTACGGAATGAATAACTTAGTTGCCTACTTTCACTTAGTGCTGTGTATTCTATATTTGCCATTTTTGCTTAGGAAATTTGTCATGTGGTAAGTGGCGTGATTTGAATTATTAAGTTCTTTAGAATTTGTTTCCCTATACTAATCGTCCTTGTCTTAAATTAAATCTTGTTGTTGTTATTGTTTGGGATGTTGTCTTGATTTATCTTGTATGTATTGCGGTTTCGATTATGCGATATACTAATCATTGTTTCCATCTTTATGCATGTAACACCGTCTGAGTTTATTATTAAACTCTCGTCTTCTTTATTTCGAGAGAGCCGTAAAGGCTCAAAAGTCTTTCATTAGAGCCAGGCCTTGAAACAGACAAGGAGATTCCGAAGTTGAAAGTATTGAAGAAGAATCCAAAGGCGAATTAGAATATTTTCTTATTATGTTGTATTTTATTTGTAATGGGCATAAGCCCTTATCGTTTTACTTTCTTGTATTTCTTTTATATGTTTAGATTAGGACAGGTAAATGGGTTAAAAACCCAAAAACAGGTGGGTCCAAAACTCGGTCAAGGCGAACAGAACCCGAGTTTGGACCCAAATCTCTCTCTCTCTCTCTCCCTCCCCGTTACTTGTTTTACATGTTTGTGTAGACTATCGATAGTCTAGGTTTAGAAACTCCAAACCCCTCCGACGCCTTTTATTTTATCAAAATTAAAATAAATCTTAAAACAATAAAGTTTCAAATTCACGAGTTGACTCAGAATTAAAAAGTTTAAAAAAAAAAAGAGTTAACTTTAAACGGATTTTAAAGTAATAATGTTTTATTAAGTTTGATTAAGATTTGAGAAATCTAGCTTTAAAAAAAAAAAAAAAAAAAATTCGCTAGCCTTTAAAAAATAGTCAAATAAGTTAATCGTCGGAAAACCGTATTAACGGAGTATCTTAGGTGCCTTAAACACCTTCCTAAGATACTAATAGGAATCCCGAACCCTTAAAATGTTTCAAAACAATTTTTCTGTTTAAGTTGTTTAGAAACGAAGTTTTCTTGATTTTTCTTAAAAAATTAAGTGGCGACTCCTAAAAGTCGAAAATAAACTCTTTTCGAAAATCACCACCCTTTTTTCGATAAAACAGAAATGGCGACTCCGCTGGGGACTTTGGAGGATTCTAACCTTAAGATTAACGCATTTGATTATTTGTGATTAACTGTTTAAGTGTTTAAATTATTTAGATTTTTTAAACTGTTGCATACATAGCATACATACTTCCGTCAAACGACACTTTTTTACATTTCCACTAAAGGACGATTATGCGGGTTCGCAGTCGTTCGTTAACCAAAAATCTTCTCGGGGCACCCTGACGAGTGTAGTTGACTACTTGATAGTCAACGATCGTTAATTGTCCCAGCCCAAGTAGTCCGCTTGGGTTACCCAATCCACTCTAAATACAACCCACTCTTAGTCAAACTAGGATAGAGCGAAACCAAATCCCGAAAATAGTGCATTGGCCTAGGATGACCCGACACCCAAGGAGTGTCGGGCCCATTAGAAAAGTCCACCTTGAGTCCAAAGAGCCTGCGGCTCGATAGGACGCTCATGTTTGTTGTTTAAATTTGAAGGATGTATTGCGTGTTTAACTAGTTGTTGTATCGGGGGGATTGAAATTAACTAGTTGTATGTTTTTGTAGATGTCAAGTCAGTTCCTTCACTTCAAAATGGTCACCCAGGCACCCGACATTCTTCGAGTATGGTGGGGCAATCTTAAGGAGTGTCAAAAGAGAGAAATCTCGATTTACTTGGGTCACCTACCTTCGATAATGGATTTCAAGGTATGGCCCACGTTTATCGAGGTCATCACCCGATTTTGGGACGATAAGAAGATGGTCTTTCGATTTGGAGATGTCGAAATAACACCCACACTAGAAGAGATCAAAGATTGCCTTGACTCGATTGGGACGTGTGGCAAAAGGAAAAAGCGTCCCGATCATCACATTCTCTTACCAGATAGGCCAACCAAGAATGAATTGAGGGATATGCTATTCCTAGTGAATGCAGATTGGTTAGAGACCAACAACATTCCGCTGATGAGGTTTTTCGAGAGGTGGGGGCACGATAATTATTTTAGATTGTTCCCGGACGAATTTCATGATCACAGTACTTGGAGGCAAACCCAAGCTATCGCTTTCTCCGCATGCCTCTTGGGAACTATGGTGTTCCCTAAAGACGAAGGAAAAGAGATCGACACTAGAGTAGTGATGGTAGTGAATGCCATGTTCAGAGGAGTCGGTAGAAAATCTGAAGAAAAGAAATATTGCTGTTTGGCCCCAGTCATCTTGTCCGACATTTACCGATCTTTGAGCCTGTGCAAGAATGGTTTTCCGTTTTTCCAAGGTTGCAACATCTTACTTCAATGGTGGTTGACGGAACATCTATGCAAAAGAGACAACCCCCAGCTACAGGGTTTGGCCGAACCAAGTCAAACAAGTCCTCTCGATAATTATGAGTTCTACTTGAGTATCCGTAAATTTCCAATTCACACCACCAGGGATGCGTGGGCAAAGGTGTTTTACAATTTGAAAGAAGGAGACATACAATGGGTATTACCGAGCTTCAGGTCTCAGATGATAGCAGCACAAGGGGCCAAATTGCCATTTTTAGTCCTTCCCGGCATCAGAGGATTGCGTCCTTACAACCCGACACGAGTAATGCGGCAATTTGGGAAAGTCCAAATCATACCCGCCCAAGGAGATGCCAGCTCTTTCATTGTTGATTACAACGGGAAGGACAAAATACCTTTCGCTAAAATTATCCTCCAGGAATGGGCCAGACGTGTCAACATGAAGTGGGAGGTCACCGAAGATAGGTATGGAGCTGGGTATGTCGACGAATATAAGACATGGTTGCATAATAATTTGCATGGTGTAGTGGATCCGACACCACGCACGAGTCGGAAAATCGAAGACGTGGAGACAAGGCTTCAGATTCACGCGTACCATTTTCAGCAAGAGTGGGACCAGAGGGAGCAGGAATTCTATAAGAAAGAACAGGAATTTCAACAAAAAGAGCAAGCATACCAACTCCGGGAATTAGAAAATCAGAGAGTTTTGGCCGTAATGTCACAAGAATTAGCTGACACAAGGACTTGTCTAATGCGTTTGGACACTATTTTGGACGAGCAGATGAACACCTTACAAGCCGTACCAACATCTTCCAAAGCTGCGTTCGCTGAGCCATACGTGTTCACCAGCAAATGCATTATCCGAGAAGAAGTGGAGAAGGCCAGAAGAGGAGCTGGATCATCGACCTTTTAACTCCCCTGCGTGGGATTGATTTTATATGTGTATTTGCACTACATCCCCTTACCAAGATTATCCCGTTTAATTTTGATTGTGTAATGAACGCTATGACATCTAGTGAAATTTGTTTCGGGGGTACAATTACTTATTTAAATGGCGCAATACATCCTTCAGATCGCTAGGCCTACCCTTGGCACAAAAGGGTCACATGCATGTTTAGGACACGATATATTTGTTTAAATGTTTATGTGTTATGTTGCTTTGATTGAGGATATCGTAAACCCACTCCCAGCCAAAATTCAAAAGAGTATACAGAAGCCAACATTACAAATGTCCGACCAAAATTCCCGAGTCTCAAGTTTCTCACACAAAATCCATACCATAAATTCTAAATACCGCTCTATCATCTCAGGAAAGTCGAATCACCGCTATGGACAAAAGCAAGAACGTCCAGACGGAGCTCACTGAGGAGGAATTGCGAAGAAAGATCGAGCGAGTCACTCAAGAGATTCAGAGGGTTAAGGAGGAAGGACTCAAAGTAGACGCGACCACGGCGATCTACAAAGCTGCGGTCACAACCTTGGATGAAGATCTGGCGTCACAGATAAAGAGAAAGAAGGAGGTTGAGATGGAAACCGTAAGCCTAAGGAAAAGGTTGAACTTGCTTCGTTTGGAGATACACGAAGGAAAGGCGAGAGAGGCGAAGATAGATATCGAGACTGCTGTGTTGTTGGGCAGAAACGCGGCGCTCGACGAGGAATTGGCGACCCATAGCGACCCAAAGGGCGGAAAATACCTCGCCCATGATCTGGGAGCAGATAACAGTGGCCCCGACCGTGAAGTGACTGAGGAGGATGATGAAGAAGAAATCGTCTACAAGCCTCCATTTTCGACTGTCTGAAAGGAAAGGAATGACGCAGCCACAAGACAAGAAATCTCCAAATGTGGTCTTCTAGAAATTTCAATGTTGTTTTCAATTCCCTTGTAATCACAACGGAAGAATGAATGGAAAATTTTCATCCTAAAATCCGAACTACGTTGGGCCTGAATTCTCCCCGTGAGATACGTAGGCAGCCTTCCCGGCCCGGCCCCTATCACAGAAAATTTTCATTCTCCTCCATGTTTCGGAGATACGAAGATAAGATCGACGGACGTCGCAAAGCAGCTGCAAAAGACCATAGCTCAACGTGATTCAGATTTCCCAAGATAGCGCCAAACAAACAAATTCCTGTTTGTTCAAAATATATATCCGTCCTTATTCGTGGGTTAAGATTTCCTCAAACAAAACGACTTGTGTGTTTATCTGTTTTATGTGCGATATTATGCATTTTGTACTCTGGATATGCACTAACAAATTTGCCTCTGAGTTGTTTTTACATCTCAGGTACCTTTTACTGATCTGTGTCGATAAAGCTGGCAGATCAGCCTTACTTCACCAGATCGAAAGGTCCTACAGATTCCTTCCCTCGATCAAATTCAGACAAAGGAAAAACAGTTATGGGAGACAACAATGACGAAGGGCGTCTTACTGACGTTGTGGTGGCTCAGCCCACTGTAGTGGAACAGAACGAATTGATCATGCAGCTGATGCAACAGATTGCTGAAATGAAAGTTGAAATGCAACGGAGACAGGATGCGCCTCCACCTGGATTTGGTACTAATACTGCTGATGCAAGACCTCCGGTCTACTTCCCTTCATCAAACATAGATCCAACTCAGAACCAGCCTTCTACACCTGTGCATAATCCGTCTGTGATTGACCTCACAACCCAAAACCCTCCATATGCTTCTGCATCTTACCAAACTCCTTCACCTCTTCCAAATAACCACCCTCAAATACCACCCCATCCTCAGAATACTCAAACTGCCCCACCGCCACAAAATCAAAACCAAACTCAAACTGCCTTCAATACCCAAGCATTTCATCCGCATTTGAGTCAGAACACCAATCCTCAGGCCTACCCACAAAACTACCAGACCGCCCAAAACGTTCCAAGTCCCTCTATAGCTCCACCCCTACCAAAAAGAGCCACCTTCCAAGTTCCCGTTCCTGCCGAGCACGAGGTGCACGGTTCTGAGTTGGATCACTATGAAGAACAGGAAAGAGAATGGAAGGCGAAAGAAGAAGTGAAGATCGATATAAAGGAAGAAATCAAAAGGGCTATGAAAGAGCTGCAGTGCATCCCAGACGCCGTCGGACTTAGCTACGCAGAATTGTGCATCCATCCAGATTTGAACCTTCCCGAAGGTTTTAAAATTCCGAAGTTTGACACCTTCGGAGGAGTGGGCAATCCTATGGCGCATTTGAGAGCGTATTGTGACCAGCTCGTGGGAGTTGGCAGGGATGAGGCGTTGTTGATGCGGCTTTTCAGCCGAAGTCTGTGTGGAGAGGCCCTCGAGTGGTTTACTTCACATGAAACCAGGCAGTGGCCCAGTTGGAATGCATTGGCTAAGGACTTCATTGACCGATTCGCCTACAATGTTGAAATAGTGCCCGATCGGTATTCTCTAGAGAAGATGAAGCAGAAACCAACTGAAAGCTATAGGGAATTTGCCTATAGGTGGAGGAAAGAAGCGGCGAGGGTAAGGCCACCCATGACCGAGAAAGAGATTGTGGAAGTGTTCGTGCGGGTACAGGAGCCTGAGTACTATGATCGAATCATGTTGCTGGTCGGAGCTAAATTCGCTGAGATAGTCAAAGTTGGTGAGACTATCGAAGATGGTCTAAAATCGGGGAAGATAGCCCGTGTATCTGCGTCGCCTGGGTCTTCAGGATTGATAAGAAAGAGAAGAGAGGAAGTTGCCGCTGTCTCGTATGGGGGAAGAAAAACCCCTAGAAACCCGTCACATTCCCAAGATCGTTTCAGGCCTTCCCCAAAGTCCCACCGATCCAACTACCCACAACCCGATCATCCTAATAGCCACAATACTGTCCCCACCTATCAGAATGCTCAAATTTTGTCGTACCAAGGTACACCCTCTAATCTCCAAAATTTTTCTCCCATATTCCCAAATTACCCTCAACCATACCAGATCCCATCCCCTTATCAGAACATTGCTCCCAACTGTGCCAACGTACAGTCGAGCTACCGACCACCTCCGCCCACTTATCAAGTCCGAGCTCCATTATATCAGGACCCCCTCCCGAATTACCAAGCTCCAATGCCAAATTTCCGGGCAAACCCTTATCCCCGGAGCCAAGCTCCTCGTACAAATACCCAAAATTATCAGCGGGTGCCTCCCCCTCGGCAAAGTGGTTATGATACTTCCCATCCGAGATTTGAAAAAAGGCCTTCAAGGAACTTTACCACACTTGCTGAAAGCCGGACCAAACTATTTGAGAGGCTAGCCGCAGATGGATACATCCACCCTGTGGGGCCCAAACCCGGGGATGTTAACTCGAAGTTCTACAGGCCAGATCAAAGGTGTGCTTATCATTCCAACAGTGTTGGACATGACACGGAAGATTGCATCAACCTCAAGCACAAAATCCAAGACCTGATCGATCAGGAGGTAGTTTCTCTGCAACCGGCGGTGCCAAACGTCAACACAAATCCGTTGCCGAATCATGGAGGTGACAACCTTAATATGATTGAAACGGATGAAGACGGGTGTGGAACAAAGATGATTACCCCTATTGTGCATGAGGACTTGGAAAGGGCTGTCGCTTCTTTAAGCGTCAAAGAAAGGAGGAAGTTTGTTATTCTGACACCTGCAAAGGCTGTTGCCTTGGCGCCTTCGAAAACTCTCGTTAAGCCCAAATTTGTCATTGAAACCGCCGTGGCCCAAGGCATGACCAGGTCCGGAAGGTGCTACACTCCTGATGAGCTTGCTCTCGGAGGACAGAAGAAGGACCATGCTAAGAGGCCGATAAGCGAGGGGGAAGCAGAGGAATTCTGGAGAAGGATGCAACCTAAGGACTATTCCATCGTCAAACATTTAGAGAAGACTCCGGCTCAGATCTCCGTGTGGGCCCTGCTGATGAGCTCTCAGTCCCACAGGCAGGCCTTAATGAAAGCTCTTGATGATACATACGTACCCTCAGGTACAAGTAGTGATAACGTGGCCGCTATGATTCATCAAGTCATTCGGGGGCACCGGATCAGCTTTTGTGACGATGAGTTGCCAGTCGAAGGAAGATCCCACAACAAAGCGCTACACATTACCGTGATATGTCGTGGAAAGGTTGTCAACTGTGTTTTGGTAGATGATGGGTCCGGTTTGAATATTTGCCCATTGACGACGTTGAGGCAACTAAATTTTGACCTTGGGAAGCTGGAGCAGAATCAGGTCAATGTAAGGGCATTTGATGGTGTGCAAAGAGACACCTTAGGGGCTGTGACTTTGACCCTTCAAATGGGCCCCGCAGAGTTCAGTGCGCAATTCCAAGTATTGGACATAGACACTAGCTACAACCTTCTTTTGGGAAGGCCGTTTATCCACATGGCTGGAGCCGTCCCCTCTACTCTCCATCAGATGATGAAACTTGTGTGGAAAAATGAAGAGTTAGTGATTCACGGCGAGGGAAGTCGCTCGGGCAAGCAGGTGTCGGTCATTGATGAGATGCCGCAAGGCGCAGACTTTTACACGGTGGAGCTGGTGAATGCCACCAACGAAGATTTGGCCCTCAACTCCATGCCAACCGTGTACAAAATGATAGCCACGGTGATGCTGCAAAATGGGTTCGAGCCAGGTTTCGGATTGGGAAGAGATTCCCAAGGAATTATTGAGCCTGTTCCGGTCCTTGCTCAGGGATCAAAGTATGGTTTGGGGTACATCCCCACAGATGATGATATGAAGATGAAGAGGAGGAGGGATCAAGAGTTGACTAAGCCGATCCCGTATCTCTATCACTCCTTTCCAGTTCGGGAGCACGCCGAGCCTGAAGACGACGGGGAAGGAATCTGTGACCTGTTCAAGGAGATCAATGCCGTCATAGAGGAGGAGGCTGAGCCAGCTGGCTTTCGCGATGCTGAACCGGGGGAAATGCTGAAGAATTGGACGTCCACACCAATCTTGATGTCCCGGACTTTTGGGTAGAAAGGAATTATTTTGTGCATGCCAAAATCGGTGGTCATTCGGAAGAGGCCCGAGACCCACCATTTCTGCATTTTCTTGATTTTGAATTTTGTTATGATTGTTTAAAGGGCGACATGGCCTTGTGCCATGACCCAACTTTGCATCTCGATTCAATTTAAATGAAAGCCTCCTTATTTTGACCTTGTTGATTCGATTGCTTGTTATATTTTACTTTTCTAAATTTTGTCTGTTTATGATTTCAGTAACGTAAGTTACAAACCTGCCAACGTCATGTCATGTCATGAGCTAAACGAACAAAATAAGGCAAATGATGACGACGCTGACGACTACGACGAAGAAAGTGGGGAACCAGACTATGTAGCAAAAGAGTTTCAACAATTCGAGAATCAACATAAACCAAATCTGGAGGAAACAGAGACGTTAAATTTGGGAGATTCAGAATGTGTCAAAGAGGTTAAGATCAGCACTCACCTGAATGAAACTCAGAAGGAGAGCCTGATTCATTTTCTTGCCGAATACCGCGATGTGTTTGTTTGGGAGGTCAGTGACATGCAGGGGCTGAGTACCGATGTCGTATCTCATAAGCTGCCTATCAACCCAGGGTTCGAGCCAGTGAAGCAAAAGACTCGGAAATTCAAGCCTGAGTTGAGTTTGAAGATTAAGGAGGAAATCACCAAGCAGATAGAGTCCCGGTTGGTAGAAGTAACGCAATATCCCACCTGGTTGGCGAATGTCGTTCCGGTCGCCAAGAAAGATGGAAAAATCAGGATTTGCGTTGATTACAGAGATCTCAACAAGGCTAGTCCAAAGGATAATTTTCCGTTGCCAAATATCCATATTCTGATTGATAACTGTGCCAAACATGAGATGCAGTCATTTGTGGATTGTTACGCGGGTTATCACCAGATTCTGATGGATGAAGAAGACGCGGAGAAAACGGCCTTCATCACACCTTGGGGGGTATATCACTACAGGGTGATGCCGTTTGGGCTCAAAAACGCCGGTGCCACTTACATGAGAGCCATGACGACTATCTTCCACGACATGATTCACAAGGAAATTGAAGTGTACGTGGACGACGTCATAATTAAATCCCGCGAGAGTTCGGATCATTTGACACACCTGCGAAAATTCTTTGAACGTTTGCGTAGGTACAACTTGAAGCTAAATCCCGCCAAGTGTGCTTTTGGAGTCCCAGCTGGGAAATTGTTAGGGTTTATAGTCAGTAGAAGAGGTATTGAGCTCGACCCTTCCAAGATCAAAGCAATTCAGGAGTTACCTCCGCCGAAGACGAGAAAAGAGGTGATGAGCTTCTTAGGGAGGCTAAACTATATCAGTCGGTTTATAGCACAATCGACGGTGGTATGTGAGCCTATCTTCAAGTTGCTGAAGAAAGATGCCCCAACTAAGTGGACTGAGGAGTGCCAGACCGCTTTCGACGCTATCAAGAGCTACTTGTCTAACCCACCGGTATTGGTTCCTCCGCGGGAAGGGAGTCCTTTGTTGCTATATTTGTCTGTCTCGGATAACGCCTTTGGATGTGTACTTGGTCAACACGACGAGACAGGGAAGAAGGAAAAGGCTATCTACTACATCAGCAAGAAGTTTACTCCGTACGAGTCTCGTTACACTTTGCTGGAAAGAACATGCTGTGCTCTGACATGGCTTGCCCAGAAGCTGAGGCACTACCTGTCGTCGTATACTACATATCTTATCTCCAGGATGGATCCGTTAAAGTATATTTTCCAGAAAGCGATGCCGACCGGGAAGCTGGCTAAATGGCAAATGCTGTTGAGTGAGTTTGACATCGTATACGTGACTCAGAAGGCAATAAAAGCACAAGCTTTGGCTGATCATCTTGCGGAAAATCCAGTTGATGAAGAGTATGAACCTCTCAAGACATATTTTCACGATGAAGAAGTGTCATTTGTGGGTGAAGATATCTCTGAAGTTTATCCAGGTTGGAGATTATTCTTCGATGGAGCGGTGAATCACCAGGGTAAAGGTGTTGGAGCAGTCTTGGTATCAGAATCTGGTCAGCACTATCCTATGGCGGCTAAGCTACGGTTCAACTGCACAAACAACATGGCTGAGTATGAAGCTTGCATTCTCGGTTTGAAAATGGCCGTTGACATGAATGTTTACGAGTTACTGGTTATTGGAGATTCAGACCTCTTGATCCATCAAGTTCAAGGAGAATGGGCTGTGAAGAACCCAAAGATTGTACCTTATGTACAATATGTGCAAAACCTGTGTAAAAGGTTTCGCAAGATCGAGTTTAGACATACTCCCCGAATACAGAATGAATTAGCTGATGCTCTTGCCACCATCGCTTCAATGATCAAACATCCGGATATTGATTACATCGACCCGCTGGATATAGATTTGAAGGAGCATCCAGTCCATTGTTCACACGTGGAATCAGAACCAGATGGTTTGCCTTGGTATTTCGACATAAAGAGGTACTTGGAGTCTGGGACATATCCAGAAGACGCCACATCTAATCAAAAGAAGTCGATACGTCGTATGGCTCTCAATTTCTTTTTGAATGGAGAAGTCCTTTACAGGAGGACTCCAGATTTGGGTCTTTTAAGATGCGTGGATGCTGCTGAAGCCGTGAGGCTTATTGAACAGATACATGCTGGAGTCTGCGGCACACATATGAACGGGCTTACCTTGGCAAGAAAAGTCCTTCGAGCCGGTTATTTCTGGATGACTATGGAGCATGACTGTTGCAAATTCGTGCAAAAATGCCACAAATGTCAAGTGCACGGTGATCTGATAAGGGTGCCACCTCACGAACTCAATGCTATGAGCTCACCTTGGCCATTTGTAGCCTGGGGAATGGATGTCATCGGCCCTATAGAACCGGCCGCTTCCAATGGACACAGATTTATTTTGGTTGCCATCGATTATTTCACCAAATGGGTGGAAGCAGCCTCTTACAAATCGGTAACCAAGAAAGTGGTGGCCGACTTTGTCCGCAACAATCTGATCTGCCGATTTGGAGTTCCAGAATCCATCATCACTGATAACGGTGCAAATCTCAACAGTCATCTGATGAAAGAGATATGTGAACAATTTAAGATTATTCACCGAAGGTCAACTGCTTATCGCCCTCAAATGAACGGAGCTGTAGAGGCCGCCAACAAGAACATCAAGAAGATTCTGAGGAAAATGATTGACAAGCAGCGGGGTTGGCATGAAATGTTGCCATATGCTCTACTGGGTTATCGAACGACGGTCAGAACATCAACTGGGGCTACTCCATACTTGCTAGTATACGGAACAGAAGCAGTCGTACCTGTTGAAGTCGAGATACCGTCACTGAGGATCATCCAAGAAGCTGAGCTAAGTAATGCTGAGTGGGTTAGCAAACGGATTGATCAACTAGCCTTGATTGATGAAAAGAGGATGGTTGCTGTTTGTCATGGCCAGTTGTATAGACAAAGAATGACTCGCGCTTTTCACAAAAGAGTAAGAGCCAGAAATTTTGAAGCTGGTCAGTTGGTTCTTAAGCGTATTTTTCCTCATCAAGACGAGTACAAAGGAAAGTTCGCACCAAACTGGCAAGGTCCTTACATGGTCCGCAAAGTACTATCTGGAGGTGCTTTAGTCTTGTCAGAGATGGATGGCGCTGTGTGGCCCAAACCTATCAACTCAGATGCTGTCAAGAGATATTACGCGTGAAGTTCGTTTTGCATTTCCCATCATTTACTTGTAATCTTCTGTTTGCTTGTATTTGTTCGAATTTGAATTCTTATCCCTCTTGTAACGAACTACGTCTGACCTGAATTCTCGAGAACGAGATACGTAGGCGGCCTATGTCGGCTTCGGTCACCCCATTTATTCCCCTTGATTATTCCTTGTGTTGGAACTACGTTTGTCCTGATTCCTGCCTCAACGGGATACGTAGGCGCCACAACGGCTCGGTCATATACCCAGAAGATTTCCATTTCTCTCCATAATGGAAACTGGGACAGAATTTTTGAGAGGATCTCAAAAATTCATTTGAAGTTGGACTTCTTTAACAAGTCAAAACAGAAGACCAAATTCTACGACCTGAACTACGTTCGACCTGAATTCTCAAGAATGAGATACGTAGGCGGCCTTTGTCGGCTTCGGTCGGTTTCTTTGTAAATTTTATTCTTGTTAACCTTTAAGGGGAACTACGTTTGACCTGATTCCTGCCTCAACGGGATACGTAGGCGCCACAAGGGCTCGGTCATATCTCTCGTAAGATTTCTATTTCCCCCTTCTACAATAGAAACTGGGATAGAATTTTTGAGAGGGACTCAAAAATTTTCCAAAAGGAACCTTCTCCTCAGCGGATCAAACTAAAGACATTTCGAGTTTGCGACTGGGACAGAATTTTTGAGAAGATCTCAAAAATTCCGAGATTTGTTCGGTTACAATGAAAAGATGAGCAAGATACTAAACTGGGACAGAAATTTTGAGGATGGCCTCAAAATTTTGTCATGGGACTTCCCCACAAGTACGGAATGCCTTTGAAATTCATTCGACAAGCGTCGGACTCAAAGAAGCTCGTTAAGCCTGACATGACATGACTTGGCATTGACTTTTTCGAGATACTATTTCTTAAAAAAAATTTCTTGCTTCTCTTAAAAATTTCCCTTTTATATTTCATCTGTTTTGGCATAAGATATTTTCTTATCTATCAAGAGTCGGGAAATCGGGAAATCAACCGAGGACGTCAAGACAGGGAGCAAACAATCGAAGGGATCGACACAGATCAGTATGTTTAAAACTGACAATTTTTCTGTGGATGCAGGTTTATAGCTTCACTTCGAAATCGGCCGAATTCTTCCGACTGATGAATACGGAGAAGGAGAAAACTATCTCCAAAGCCGGTGATTTTATTGAAAGCAAGAAGCATTTCATATCTTTATGCCAAGATGCTTGTGAATGTGTTTGTTTATTTCAAGCCATTCCCCAATACATGAAATTTACAAAGTGCCTGACCAGATTCAAAGGTGGATCAAAAAGGAATCTTAGCGAAGATTTCACGATTTCTATAGAAGACGCTATTTGCATTGCGTTATCAAAGCAAGATGATTATTGTCGATCAAGACAATGCATTACCTCAGAAGAGACAGTTATGCAATTATTATTTTTATCATTATCGATCAAGTTGATATATTATTTGGAGGTCGTCTTGCCGTTACTATTCACGGGGGCAATATAAATAATTATGCATGACGAGAAGATTTCATGCCGCGTCGAAATTTATACATCGCGAGAAGAATTTATGCCTCGCTGGAATTCATGCATCGCGGAATCATGCATCGCGGAAATCATGCATCGCGAGTTAATAATCATGCATGACGAGAAGATTTCATGCCTCGTCAAAATTTATACATCGCGAGAAGAATTTATGCCTCGCTGGAATTCATGCATCGCGGAATCATGCATCGCGAGTCAATAATTATGCATGACGAGAAGATTTCATGCCTCGTCAAAATTTATGCACGACGAGAAGAATTCATGCCTCGTCAAAATTTGCACATCGCAAGAAGATTTTATTCTTCGCTGAAAGTTATGCATCGCGAGAAGATTCATATCTCGCAGGAATTTACGTATCGCGGGAAGATATTCATGACCCGCAAGAAGACGTACTTGGATAAAGAAAGAGCAATACTTATCCATTGGCCTCGACTGCATTATGTTATTTCTTATAAAAATAAACATCATGGAGAGCATCGAAGATGACAACAAAAGAAACATCAATATCGCATCAGCATTTATTTATTTATTTCGACATCAAGTATGGAATACATTGAAGATGATATTGCAAAACACGAGGCATAAGCTTTATTTGCTGGACGTCAGACCGATCGAGTCGACGTCGAACATGGAGGAGAACAATGAAGTGTCGACATGGTAAAAGACACTGTCTCCCATCCTAATTGCATTTTTTAAGCTGACGAGTTTTATCTCAGTCTTTGTCGAGAGCATCCAAAAGGATGAATTCTCCAAAAACCACAGGTGCGGACGACATCAAAAAGGATGCAGCACAACGTGGAACTTTTTCTTAGCAGCGAACTGGGACACAGTCCAAAGAGGAGTGTCAAACTCTTAGGACGCGAGCAGAGGAGCGACTTCCACCACAATCGAACCACCCTCTCGAGGCTTACGGGTTTTCTCTAGTTCTGTCAGTTTCTGTCTCGCTTCCGAAAGTTTTGTTTTATCGGAAGCAAGTTTCCAATCTGAGTGACAATACGCCAAAAGATTTGGAAATTATGTCCGTGTAAGTTCTTAATTATGGGTGTGAAGCGCGCCACATTCATGGCTAAGAGGTTACAAGCCTCTTTTTCATACTCGTTTAATGTGTCACTCGTCCAAAACCGAAGGTTAGCTAGCATAATAGTTTTCCTTTTCCAACGATTGAGTCGAACTACACACAGCCTGATTCCGAAGGTTTAAGGGTATGTAGGCGGATTCAATGTTGAAAACTCGGCTGTATTCCAACATTCGCTCTCGAATTCTATTCTCGAGCATTTCGATGCCTTCATAATTCGGTGTCGAGGTGGCTTTTGATTCTTTGAAATCGTGCGGTAAATCAAGCTTATCGAACTACAAGTGGCCTGAATTCTCATATAGCCTGAGATATGTAGGTGCAAGGGTTCAGCCATAATTCCTAAACCCTGTGTCGAATCCTTCCTTTAAAACGATTGGGGTTGATCAAAATTGGTTGGTCAATTTCATCTTCCTCGAGTTGCTTGCGTCAACCCGAGTAAAATGAGGGACAGTTGTTGACACCCAATTTTGACCCGCATCGGTATAAGTTAGTTAGTTTTATAAATCTTGCGAAAATAAAATATATGTACATATATGTATATACATATATGTATATGTATATATGTATATCTTATTCCCAGGCCCAATTACCCCTCAACCCAACACTAACTTAATTCCTTTCAACTCAACACTGTCAAGCCCACTCCCAATTTCAGACAATTAGTTAATTTCCAAGCCCAAACTCTTAACAGCCCACTTCATTGCTTTTAAACAACAACCCAACCCAACTTAAAATTAACCCCCAGGCCCAAATCCCCTTCAGCTTTTAAAATACCCGCCCACTACATTAATTCGACCCGCCGACCCGACCCATCCCTTCTCCCCTCTTCTCCACCCCTTCCCCCACACGACCCCATTCCCAGGAAGAACAGCACCCCCCACGCGACCCCCTCCCCACGCTCTCTCCTCGCTTTCTCCCTTCCTCTCATCCCTCTCCCCGTGCTCTCTCCCTCAACCCCGCGTCTCCCCCACGCTCGCTCTCTCCTTCCCCTCTCGACAGAAATCCGGAAAAACAGACCGACTCCTGCAAACGCCAACAACCCCACGCTCTTCTCCTTCCATCTTTCTCTTCGCGTGAATCAGACGGAAGCGCAGAGACCCATACGCTGTCGAGTAGGTCTGCGAGGTGTCAATTTCATCCTCTCCAACACGCCTGTGCCATGTGAAGTTTGACCGAAAGTGGGATTTAGTTTCGAATTCAAAAGGAGAAAAGGGGGGGCTAACGCTCCTCCGCTATAAAAACCCCTTTTTTCTTCTTCAGCAGCGGGGGTTGGACATTTTTGTTGGAGAAAATTTTCGAGAGTTGGAGCTTTAGTCGAAAAAAAAAAAAGTTGTTGTTCTGTCTGTTCTTGGCTTAGAAAAGACATATCGTAGTCTAGCTTTGACGATAGGTTCTCTAGAAGAGGAATCTTAGAGAGAGCGTAGTTCGGAGGTCTCTCGCTCGCCTCTGGTTTTCTGTTCGAAAAAAAAAAAGAAAAAACGGAGTGAGATCGTTGCTTTGGTTGGAACGCCTGGCCGGGTTCGCGTGGTGGAACAGTCGTCTGCTCGCCATCGTACCAGTCGCTGCTCTCGAAAAGGTAATCTTCCCCTGCCTTCTTTCCGTCTTCTCGTTTCTTCTGTCTCGAAGTTGTTTCTTCGTCGTTTCGTGCTATGGGTTATCTACTGTTATTCGTTTTGGCGAGCCTCTCATGTGCTGGGTCTATTATCAAATGCGTGAACGTTAAGCATATGGTTTGTTTGCCGTAACTGCAGGATGTCGCATGTGTCATATAACATGATGTTGTTCTATTATGTTTTCTCGTCTGAGGCTGCTCACATGTTGATTATGAGTTTGTCATAGCGTAAATCGTATCGCATTGGTCTTAAGTTGGTTCTGTTCTATGATATATATGACTTGTAGATTAAATATAGAATGTTATTTGTTGGGTTTAGCTCGAATTCATGATATATCACACGTCGTAGTTTTGCCCGTCACACTTGCTCGTTTGTGTTGTTAGTTTGTTTATCACGTGGTCATCATGGCATAGATGTTTACGTATCAGTATTTAGGACCGTTTTGGCTGGCATTTGGTTTGTAACGCGAAGTTTATCGCTATTTCGTGCTGTTTCTCTGAAGTTTTCATTGATTAGCATCTGTTGGGAATTCGAGTCCATGTGGTCCAATTGGAAGGGGGGGGGGGAATGAGCTGTTGGGGGTTGCTTCCTAATTGTCTAAATGTTTGATTATTATTGATATGGAGAAGGCCTTTACTGCCTACCCTAACTTCATCGATACATAGTTGTGTATGCTTAGCGAAATTACATAACCTTTTCTTGAGACTTTAGCATTTGATTGTTATAAGTTACCGGTTGCCTTCTTCTTGTTAGACTTTGACTTAAGTGTTTCAGAATATGCATGCTTTCTGTTGTTTCAAAGCTTGTGAGGAATGTTCGAGGTCATTTGGATTTATCACGCAAATACGTTTATGTCATATGTCAACTAAGTACGGAATGAATAACTTAGTTGCCTACTTTCACTTAGTGCTGTGTATTCTATATTTGCCATTTTTGCTTAGGAAATTTGTCATGTGGTAAGTGGCGTGATTTGAATTATTAAGTTCTTTAGAATTTGTTTCCCTATACTAATCGTCCTTGTCTTAAATTAAATCTTGTTGTTGTTATTGTTTGGGATGTTGTCTTGATTTATCTTGTATGTATTGCGGTTTCGATTATGCGATATACTAATCATTGTTTCCATCTTTATGCATGTAACACCGTCTGAGTTTATTATTAAACTCTCGTCTTCTTTATTTCGAGAGAGCCGTAAAGGCTCAAAAGTCTTTCATTAGAGCCAGGCCTTGAAACAGACAAGGAGATTCCGAAGTTGAAAGTATTGAAGAAGAATCCAAAGGCGAATTAGAATATTTTCTTATTATGTTGTATTTTATTTGTAATGGGCATAAGCCCTTATCGTTTTACTTTCTTGTATTTCTTTTATATGTTTAGATTAGGACAGGTAAATGGGTTAAAAACCCAAAAACAGGTGGGTCCAAAACTCGGTCAAGGCGAACAGAACCCGAGTTTGGACCCAAATCTCTCTCTCTCTCTCTCCCTCCCCGTTACTTGTTTTACATGTTTGTGTAGACTATCGATAGTCTAGGTTTAGAAACTCCAAACCCCTCCGACGCCTTTTATTTTATCAAAATTAAAATAAATCTTAAAACAATAAAGTTTCAAATTCACGAGTTGACTTAGAATTAAAAAGTTTAAAAAAAAAAAGAGTTAACTTTAAACGGATTTTAAAGTAATAATGTTTTATTAAGTTTGATTAAGATTTGAGAAATCTAGCTTTAAAAAAAAAAAAAAAAATTCGCTAGCCTTTAAAAAATAGTCAAATAAGTTAATCGTCGGAAAACCGTATTAACGGAGTATCTTAGGTGCCTTAAACACCTTCCTAAGATACTAATAGGAATCCCGAACCCTTAAAATGTTTCAAAACAATTTTTCTGTTTAAGTTGTTTAGAAACGAAGTTTTCTTGATTTTTCTTAAAAAATTAAGTGGCGACTCCTAAAAGTCGAAAATAAACTCTTTTCGAAAATCACCACCCTTTTTTCGATAAAACAAGTGTGAGTACAATTTGCCATTATCTGGTAAATATTTTTGGCAAATAACCGTAATTCTCTATACTAGAAAAACACTTACTTGGGCCAAGTCTCATTATTTGAGAACTTTTAATAACTCAAATTCTACACTAAATTTTTATTTTTTTCAAGAATACTCTCTATAGTAGTTGTTTTTCATAATCATTTACGTAAACATCAAATTAGTGATAAAATATTCAGTGAATGTGAAAATGATGATATGATTGTTGATGAAAATGAACAATCGGCTTAGGATAACAAAGTCATGTAATACAAGCATATGACTAGTTTTGTTAGTTTTTAAAAC